CATAACCTCCAATTTTCCCACATTTTATTCCATCTGCCATATTTTTGCCCACTCACTTAACGTGTCTACATCCTTCTGCAGACTCTATGTCATCCACACCACTCACCTTCCTGTCATCTATAAACTTGCTGATAATACATTCACTCCCTCATCCAAATTGGTGCCATAGATTGTAAATTATTGTGGCATCAGCACTGATCCCTGTGGCACTCCACTAGTTACAGGTTCCCAAAAGAACCGTCAGATATAGGATCAGCATTACGCCACTCAGCCCATTGAGTCTGCTCTGCCATTTGATCATGGCTGATATGTTTCTCAACCCCATTCTCCTGCCTTCTCTCCGTAACTCTTGATCCCCTTACTAATCAAGAGCCTATCTATCTCCGTCTTATATACACTCAGTGACATGGCCTCCACAGCTTTCTGCGGCAATACGTTCCACAGAGTCACACCCGCTGGCTGAAGAAATTTTTAAAATTCATTCGTGGGATGAGGGCATCGCTGGCTAGGCAGTATTTAATGCCCATCCCTAATTGCCCAGAGGGCAGAGTCAACCACATTGCTGTGGGTCTGGAGTCACATGTAGGCCAGACCAGGTAAGGATGACAGTTTCCTTTCCTAAAGGACGTTAGTGAACCAGATGGGTTTTTCCAACAATCAACAATGAATTCATGATCATCGTTAGATTCTTAATTCCAGATTTTTATTGGATTCAAATTCCACCATCCGCCATGGTGGGATTCAAACCTGGGTCCCCAGAACATTATCTGTGTCTCTGGATTAATAGTCCACTGATAATACCACTAGGCCATTGTTTACCACCAAATTCCTCCTCATCTCAGTTCTAAAGGTTAATTCCTTCACTCTGAGGCTGGGACCTAAAGTCCTGGTCTCTCCTACCAGTGGAAACATCTTCTCCACATCCACTCTATCCAGGCCTCTCAGTATTCTGTAACTTTCAATCAGATGCCCTGATCATCCTTCTAAACTCCATTGAGTACAGACCCACAGTCAGATCCTAAAAATGCCTCCCTTATTCCACCTCTTTGTTTTCTGTTAGTTAGTCAATCCTCCCTCCATTGTATTATACAACTGCAACACTATCTTATGAAATAGCCTTATGGGCAATCCTGGTCGAATGTCTTTTGAAATCCAAATATGTAACGTTGACTGGTTCCCCTTTATCTGTTTCCCCTTCATGAAGCTGTGCTGGCTCTGCCTGATCATATTGTATATTTCTAAATGCTCTGTTATTACACTCTTTATAACAGACTTGAACATTTTCCCAATAAGTGGCGTTAACCTAACTGGATGACCGCTGCCTGTTTATCGTCTCCTTCCCCTTTTGAAGCCTGTGACGGTTTTTCTTCATTTTTCTCCATTTCTCCATTTTTTGCCATCTGAAACTGTGACTGAGATGTGGTAGTGTTGTGTCAAAATAAACATGTATTTGCCTCCAGATCTGGTTAAGTAATTTCTAACGCTGTTCTGTTTTTCTGTGTTTTATTAAGGTGACCCCCTGTTTGATTTCTCACCTGTAGCATGATTCACGGAAGAGGATTAGCTGTAACTGCTCTTAATGATACCTCTGAATCATTCAGTTTATGATTCACTGTAACACTGTTCAGAAATAAATGTCTCACACTGTCTGCCAGTCTGGATTTTAATTGTGTTTAATCTTTATGACAACAAAGTTTCAAGATAAAGGGAGGAAATGGGGTGGCACGGTGGCTCAGTGGTTTGCATTACTCCATCACAACACCAGGGACCTGGGCTGGGTCCCATCCTCAGGTGATATTAGGGATGATACCCATATCCCAGTCAATACAGTGTGGAGCAGGAGGAATACAGCAGGTCAGGCAGCATCGGAGGAGCAGGAGAGTCTACGTTTTGAGTCAGGTCCCTTCATCAGGACTGGTACCCAATACCGCGATACCCATATCCCATGTAAGTATAAAAAGATTGCTTTAAATTACTCTCACAATTGGCCTGGGACTCATTTAAAATACATCCTCAAAACTGTGCCTGTCCCTGGTGGTGGCTGTTTTACTGCTGTGAGCTGCAGCTATAACAGCTGTTAGTTTAACAGACTCGAGCCAGAGGATAGATTCACCCAGAAAGTGACCTTTCAGTGGATTGAGACTGAGTCAGGCCAGGGCACAGCGTTCCCATCTGTATTCATGATATGGGCTGAAATGTTGGGGCTATGATCAATAATTCTGCAAATGACTGAAGAATTGTTAGGGTGGTAAAAGGTGAGGAGGATAGGTCCAAGCTGCAGGAGGATGTCAACAGTCTGGTCAGCTGGGCAGAGCAATGGCAAATGGAATTCAAGTGTGAGCTAATGGACTGGGGAGGGCTGACAAGGCAAGGGATTACACTGGGAATGGTAAGAACTTGGAAAATACTAAAGATCAGAGGGACCTTAATCTGCTTACCCACAGATCCCTGAAGGTAACATGTAAAAGGTAACTGTACTGCCAGAGGACTGCACCCTCATTAGAGAGCTTAACTGGAGGATCACCAATCCTCAGGTGAGGGGAAAGGTTGAGAAGCTAACTTTAAGTGGAGCAGCAATTGAGCCCATGCTGTTGGCACCATTCTGCATCACAAGCTAAGCAAAGAGAAGGGGAATGGCCTAGTGGTATTATCGCTGGACTGTTAATCCAGAGACCCAGATAATGTCCTGGGGACCAAGGTTCAAATCTCACCATGGCAGATGGTAGAATCTGAATTCAATAAAATATCTGGAATTAAGAATCTAATGAAGACCATGGAATCCACTGCTGATTGTCAGGAAAAATCCATCTGGTTCACTAATATCCTTTAGGGAAGGAAACTGCCATCCTTACCTGGTCTGGTATACATGTGACTCCAGACCCACAGCAATGTGGTTGACTCTTAACTGCACCCTGGGCAATTAGGGATGGGCAATAAATGCTGCCTGGCTAGAAATGTCCTCATCCTGTTAATGAATAAATGAAATTTAAACAGATGAATAAATGAACTTGCTGTTTGGCCAACTGAGCTAATTGGTATCCACAATAAGATAGCTCAGAAAGTGTATGGAATAATTGCTTGCAAAACCATGGAATACAAAAGCAAAGGCTTGATGCTGGAAATATATCAAATACTAGTTAGGCCACTGGGTGTGACCAGAGTGGGTGCAGAGGGAGAATCACCAGGGTGATGTTGGGGCTGGAGGGTCAGATTTAGAAGGAACAATTGGAGAATTGGTTGAGGGAGGACAAACAGCTACAAGATAATGAACAGCAGAGGTAAGCTGGATAGAAAGGCACTTTTTCTATTAGCAAAGAGATGACGAGCCAGGGGAAATTGATGTCAGGTCTGAGCTACAAGCCTGACAGGAGAAATGAGGAGAATGTTTTACACTCCAAGGGTGGTGGGAGTCTGGAACTCACTACCTGAAAGGATGGCTGAGTCAAAAATCTCATAACATTGAAGCAATATTTAAATCTTCACTTGCATTGCAACAGCTTCCAAGCCATGGACCAAAAGCTGGAACATGGGATGAATATAATCAGATAGGCGATAAATTGACCAGCACAGACACAATGGGCTGAATAGCCACCTTCTGTGCTGAAGACATTTAAGAGTCTATGAGAACATGGTCTTGGATATTTTTACTATTCACTCGATTCTGGGATAGATCTGACAGGTCTTTGGGGCTGGTATTTGACCCATGACGAAAATGAAAGATGTTGGTGAGGATTATTGGTGATGGAACATGGAGTGACAGTATAGTCAGGGCCATGGCCAGTGACAGAAAGCTGAGCTGGTTATGTCAAATGTGATTACAATCTTTGAAAATGTTATTGAGAGTTTAGATTAGATCCATATTGAATACTTAGATTTCCAGAAAGCTCATGCTGAGTTTTATATTGGACTAAAGCTTCTAATGAGGACTGAGTGGACTCACAAGGAAGAGCTTAGCAGAAACACATCGGGTTAGAGAATGAGAGTAGGGAAATCTAACTGCAATTGTACAAGGTGTTAGTGAAACCACATCTGGAATATTGTGAATAGGTTTGGTCCCTTACTTAAGGAAAAATATTGTTTCATTGGAGCCAGTTCAGAGACGGTTCACAATGATGATCTCTGGAATGGAGAGAGTGTCTTTTGAGCAAAGGCTAAACAAGATAGGACTCTACAGGATGGGATGAAATGTGGAGATGATGGAGGGAGCTCCCCGGGACTGAGAGGGGATGGGGATGTGGGGTGGGGATGGGGTGTGGGGGGGACTGTGGTGGAGGGAGCCCTCCAAGATGATGATGCGTAAGGAGGGGACGGTGTGATTGTGTGGAATGAGTTTCTGAGTGTCCAATGGGTAACAGACTCCGTGAACTGAACAGACACAGCCTCAACCCTGTGCAAGCAGCAATTTTATTGAGGTTTTTAAATCAGAAAAAGCAGAAAGGTTACAGATCCCACACACATCCTCACCGAACAGAGTAATCAAACAATACAGATCAATGGTCAATTAGTCCTGGCTTCCTAACACCCAGAGACCATGGGGATTAATCCCAGTTTGATTCCGAGCTCTGGGTGTTCTGATAAAGCTGCTGTTCAATGTGAGAGTCCGGATGGACTGAGATTTCTCTCAGTCGCCCCATGTCCTGGATAGTCTCTCACAGACTTTCTCTGATGATGCTCCCCACTGTCACTGAGCACAGCCTGATTGCCTGGCATTCCTCCAGGGAGACTGTTTGACAGCGAGATCAGTGACTGTTTGTTTGTGGATGTGTGACAGAAACTGGGAAAGGCAGGTTCCCATCTGAAATCCTTGTGTACAACAGCTTGAAAGCAGAGGGTGTGGCCCGGGATTAGGAACAGATTGATTGCAGAAGCTCAAAGCACAACATGGCTGTCTCCAAATGAGCAGCATTTTGGATTAATGTTCATGGCTGGAAGATAAAATCACACAAAAATGCTCAGTTAGTGTCCAAATGGAAATCAAAATCAATTCATGACGATCTTTGGAAGCTGAATGTTGCCTGGAATTTCACTGAGTTCAGACACAGTGCAACCCATACAGGACATACCTGGGCAATTTTCCACATTGTCGGGTAGGTACCAGTGTTGTAACTGTACTGGAACAGCTTGGCTCGGGGAGCGGCAAGTTCTGGAGCATGTGTCTTCAGTACTATTGCCGGAATGTTGTCAGGGCCTGTAGCCTTTGCAGTATCCAGTGTCTGCAACTGTTTCTTGATATCACATGGAGTGAATCGAATTGGCTGAAGACTGGTATCTGTAATGCTGGGGACTACTGGAGGAGGCCGAGATGAATCATCCACTTGGCACTTCTGGTTGAAGATTGCTGCGAATGCTTCAGCCTTATCTTTTGCCCTGATGTGCTGGGCTCTTCCATCATTGAGGATGGGGATATTTGTGGAACCTCCTCCTTCAGTGAGTTGTTTAATTGTCCACAACTAATCAGTAAAGGGGAGTGGGGTGTGAGGGTGAGATTTTACTTTGTTAAAATACTGACGGTAATCTACTGGAGGGTTTTTTTCTGTTATTGATCAGGATCGTCCCATCCAGCAGGTCCCCAGAAGTCCCTCAGAAGTTTTAAATCCAAAATTGTGAATGAAGCTAATTAGACGTCATTTAATGAAAGTAAATACTTAATGTGAGCCATTAAATGGAGGGTTTCAGGGAGATGTTGTTCATGGCATTTCTCATGACAAACACTGATGTGCAGCCTGTGCATGTCTATAACACAGCAGCTGTGAATGGGCGCCTCCAAACATACAGTTTGAATTTCCAACAAACCCAGCATCCCCCGGCCATGAAGGAGTCAATTCCCTCCTCAGCCCCTTGCACTGACAGTCTTGGAAGGAAGAGGGAGGGAGGGAGTGTGCTGGCCTGTGAGTGTTGTAATGGTGCGAGCAGGAGCAGAAGTACATACTCACAGCAGCTCCTGCCATTTAGTGAGGGTCATGGATACCAAACACTTCCACCTCACACAAGGTCAGAATACCTCTCCTTGATCTCAGGAAGATATTCACAAATCTGCCATGGACTCCATTCTGGGTTTCACAAAAGAACGATTTAGTCCCACCTCTGGGAATGGAATCAATCCTTGCACAGCTGAAAGCGAGAGAAGTGAGAATGATGGTTACTGTATAAAACCATGAGAACTAGAAGCAGGAAGAGGCCATTCAGCCCCTCAAGCCTGCTCCACCATTTAGTACGATCATGGCTGTTCTCATCTCAGCCTCAACCTCACTTAGCTGCCCACTCCCCACAACCCTTCAACGCATTACTAAATAAAAATCTTACTCCTCCTTAAATTTACGCAATGTCCCATGATCCACTGCACTCTGGGGCAGTGAATTCCACAGATTCACAATCCTCTGGAGAAGGAATTTCTCCTCATCTCTATTTTAAATCTGCCAGCTCTTCTCCTAAAACTGTGACTTCTCATTCTAGATTGCCCCACATGAGGAAACATCCTGTTCACTTTTGACATCTAACCTGTCTAATCCTGTTGAAAATTTATCAATTTCTGTGAGATCTCCTCATTCTTCTAAACTCCAGTGAATTAAGTCCTAACTGATCCACCCTCTCTTCATACATCAGTCGTGCCATCCCAGGAATCAGTCTGGTAAACCCTTCACTACACTCCCTCCATCACCAGAATATCCTTCCTCAGTAAATGAGATCAAACCTGCAGACAGCAGGCAGCATGGTGGCTCAGTGGTTAGCGTTTCCGCCTCACAGTGCCAGGGACCCAGGTTCAATCCTAACTTGGATGACAGTCTGTGTGGAGATTGCACATACTCCCTGTGTCTGTGTCGTTTCATCTGGGTGCTTTAGTTTCCTCCCACGCTCCAAAGATGTGAAGATGAGAGTGAACTGGCCATGCTAAACAGCTCATAGAGTCCAGGGATGTGCAGGCTGGGTGGGTTAGCCATGGGAAATGCAGGGTTATGGGGATAGGATGGGGCCTGGGTCTGGGTGGATGCTCTTTGGAGGTTTGGTGCAGACTTGATGGACTGAATGGCCTCTTTCCACACAGTGGGGATTCTATGATTCAACAATATTCTAGGTGTGTTCTCACTAAGGCCCTGTAAAGCTGCAACAACATATCCCTGCTCCTGTACTCGAAACCTCTCACAATGAAGGCCAACATACCATTTACCTTCTTTACCACCTGCTGCACCTGCATGCTTACCTTCAGCAACTGGTGCACAAGGACACCCAGGTCCCACTGCACACTCCCCTCTCCCAATTTACAGCCATTCAGGTAGTAATCTGCCTTCTTGTTTATGCTTCCAAAGTGAATAACCTCACATTTACCCAAATAGTAGGATAGTAAAATGTAGGGTATTTAGGGTAGATTGATCTTAGTAGGATTATGGGTCAGCACAACATTGTGGGCCGAAGGGCCTGTACTGTGCTGTACTGTTCTATGTTCTATGTTCAAATTATACTGCATCTGCCTGGAATTTACCCATTCACTCAGCTTTCCAAATCACACTGCAACATCTCTACCTCTTCCTCACAGCTCCCCACACCCCCCCCAACCCCGGCACCCTACCCCACCCCACCTGTAAACTTGGAGATATGATGTTTAGTTCTCTCATCTAAACCATTAATGTGTACTGTGAATAGCTACCATCCCAGCACTGATCCCTGAAGTAACTGTGGTGCCTGTCGCTCCGAAAAAGACCCATTTATTTTTGCTCTTTGTTGCTGGTTTTTCCTTTCCACCTCAGCATATACAACATCCAATTCCATGTGCTTCAGTTGTACACGCTAAAGCTTTCTCAAAGACAAAATAAATCCCATTTGCTGGCTTCCCTTATTAACTGATGAACTTGACTCAGGTTGGGCATAGACTACACTGGGCAGGCTCAGTGCTGGGGTATGGGTTTCAGAGGGTCGATGATGCCAGGCTATATTTACAGGGCGTTACGGTTTCCGTCATTTTCCAGGGAATCACCGACTCGGATCTCTGCTCCATCCAGCCTCTTTGCCTTGCGGTTTCTGTTTGTGATTCTCACAACTAAGACCCGATAATGTTCCTTTAAATCCACTCTCCACCAGGGGTTCCTCTGCTTCATGGTGCTACTGCAGGACGAGTGTCGGAATTCACTGTCGTTATTCCCATCGATGGCGTTGTTCGCATCAGCAAAATGTATGAAGGTGGTGGACTGTGTCGCACGGACCCCAGCAGCAACATTCTCTAAAACCAGGGACATCATATTCCTATCAACACCCTCGCCAGCACAATGCACACCGCACCCTCCCTCACACTCCCCCACCCTCCCCTCACTCACCACCCCTCACTCTCCCCTCCCCCTCCCTCACCCTCCCCTCCCTCAACCTCACACTCACCCTCCCTCACACTCACCCTCCCTTTGCTTCTGCTCCTTCAGCCTCTGGTCCCTCACCCTCCCCTCCCTCAGCCTCCCCTCAATCACCCTCACCCTCCCCTCCCCTCCCCTCCGCTCCCTCACCCTCACCCTCAGCTCCCTCACCCTCTGACCCCTCAGCCTTCCCACCCTCAACCTCCCCACCCTCAACCTCCGACCCCTCACCCTCCGCTCCCTCAGCCTCCCCTCCCACACCCTCAGCCTCCCCTCCCACACCCTCCCCTCCCCTCCCCTCCCTCACTGTCAGCTCCCTCACCCTCAGCTCCCTCAGCCTCCGACCCCTCACCCTCCAACCCCTCAGCCTCCGTTCCCTCAGCCTCTGTTCCCTCAGCCTCTGTGCCTCACTATCTTGCATTCTTGTTCTTCAGGTCAGTTACAAAACATTGGAGTGACAGGTAGCATTGAGGAAGCAGGGAGGCTGCAGAAGGACTTGGACAGGCTGGGAGAATGGGTAAAGAAGTGGCTGGTTGAGTACAATAGGAGAGTGTGAGGTACGAAGAGTAGAGGCAGAGACTATTTTCTAAATTGGGAAATGCTTTGGAAATCTGGAATGTCAAGAGTCCTAGTTCAGAATTCTCTTAAGGTTAACATGCAGGTTCAGTTGGCAGTAAGGAACATAAGTGTAATATTGGAATTCATTTCAAGAGGGCTAGAATAGCAGGCGGCATGGTGGTTCAGTGGTTAGCACTGCTGCCTCACAGCACCAGGGACCCAAGTTCGATCCCACCCTCAGGTGACTGTCTGTGTGGTGTTTGCACATTCTCCCCGTGTCTGCGTGGGTTTCCTCTGGGTGCTCCAGCTTCCTCCCACAGTCCAAAGGTGTGCAAGTTAGGTGGATTGGCCATGCTAAATGGCCCATTGTATCTAAAGTAGGCTTTGGCTTTGGGTATGGGTGGGATGCTCTTTGGAGAGTTGGTGTGGCCATCATAGAATCCCTCCCGTGTAGAAACAGGCCATTTGGCCGAACAAGTCCACACTGCCCCTCTGGAGAGACGCATTACCCAAACATCCCCAGGCACTATGGGGCAATTGAGCATGGCCAATCCACCCTAATCTGCACATCTTTGGACTGTCGGAGGAAACCCACACAGACACGGGGAGAATGTGCAATCTCCACACAGACAGTCACCTGAAGGTGGAATTGAACCCGGGTCCTTGGCACTGTGAGGCAGCAGTGCCAACCACTGAGCCACCATGCCACCCCTTGATGAGTTGAATGGCCTGCTCCCACACTGTAGGGATTCTGTTCTATGAAACAAGAGCTGAGGCTGTATAAGGCTCTGGTCAGACCATATTTGGAATACTGAGAGCAGTTTTGGGGTTTCTAAAGAAGGATGTGCTGGCAATGGAGGGGGTCCAGAGAAAGGTTTACAAGAATGATCCAGGGGATGAAGAGCTTGTCATATGAGGAGTGGTTGAGGACTCTGGGTTTGAACTCGATGGAGTTTATAAGGATGGTGGGGGGGGGTGGTTGTTGATCTGATTGAAGTTTACAGAATACTGAGAGGCCTGAATAGAGTGGATGTGGAGAAGATGTTTCCAGTAGAAGAGATTAGGACCCATGGGCACAGCCTCAGAGTGAAGGGAGCACCCTTTAGAACTGAGATGAGGACGAGTTTCTTCAGCTTGAGGGTGGTGATTCTGTGGAACTCATTACTGCAGAGTGATGTGGAGGCAAGTTATTGAGTGTATTTAAGCTAGAGATTGATAGGTTCTTGATTAGTCATGGAATTAAGGGTTACGGGGAGAAGGCAGGAAAATGGGGTTAAGAAACATATCAGCCATGATCAAATGGCAGAGCAGACGCGATGGGCCGAATGGCGTAATTCTGCTCCTGTTTCTTATGGTGTTATGAACACAATCTGTTCCGCACTCGCCTGCACTCAACCATTCTCAATGACAAGGATGACATGAAACTTGGAAGAATTGTAGGCAATGAGAGGGACCATGTGGAACCCAAAAGGTTATTGGTGGAGTGGGGGAATAGGTGACAGGTGAAGTTCAATGTAGAGAAGTGTGAGGTGATGCACTTTGAATCATCAAATCCCTACAGTGTGGAAGCAGGCCATTTGGCCTATTGAGTCCACACCAACCCTCTAAAGGGTATCCCACCCAGACCCAGTCCTAGTCCCTGTAACCCTGCATTTCACATGGCTAATGCACCTAGCCTGAACATCTTTGGACTGTGGGAGGAAACTGGAGCACCCAGAGGAAACCCACGCAGACACGGGGAGAACGTGCAAACTCCACACAGACAGTCACCTGAGGCTGGAATTGAACCCAGGTCCCTGGTGCTGTGAGACAGCAGCGCTAACCACTGAGCCACTGTGCCACCCACATGGCTGGAAGAACATTGAGAGACAATGTAAAATAGGGGGTATAATTCTAAAGGGGGCGCAGGGGCATGGGGAGCTGGGGGTATATGTCACAGATCACTGAAGGTGGCGGGACAGGGGGACAGAGCAGTTAATAAACAGACAGTGCCCTCGGCTTTATTAATAGAGGCATAGAGTACAAGAGCCAGGAGGTGATGTTAAACTTGTACAAGATACTTGTTAGACCCTCAGCTGGAGTATAGTGCACAGTTGTGGGTGTCACATTATAGGAAAGATGTGAATGTGTTGGAGAGAGGGCAGAAAGCAGGAATGGTTCCAGGAGTGAGAAACGTCAGTCAGGAGGATCGATCGAAGAAGCTGGGACTGTTTTCCCTGGAGAGAAAGTGGCTGAGAGGGAGATCAGATAGAGGTTTTCAAAATCAGGAGCGGGGCTGGACAGAGCAGACATGGAGAAACTGCTCCTGCTTGTACAAGGAAGAAGAACGAGGGGGACACAGATTTAAAGCGAAGGGCAAACAAAGCAAAGGATGATGTGAGAAAAAACATTTTCACACAGTGAGTAGTTAGGGGATGGGATGCACTGCCTGGGAATGTGGTAGAAGTAGTTTCTTTGAGGCATTCAAAAGGGACATTGGATGGTTATTTAGATGGGAATGGTGTGCAGGGAAATGGGGAAAAGGCAGGAGGTTATCACTGGGTGATAGAATCAGTGCAGGTATGATGGGCCAGATAGTCTCCTCCTGCACTGTATCAATTCTGATTATGTAATTTAACTAGGAATCAAACACAATCAGAACCTGAGGCAGAACTTTCACAGCTTGGAATGAGGATTTTCCGGATCCTCATGGCAAACTTACCCTGGGAATATCCAATGGAAAAGAGCACACAGAGAGAGGCCAAGGCAAGTAGGTAGTGAGACATCATCCTGTAGGAATCACGGAGAGATAGAAGTTTAGACATATTGATCCTTGGAGTGAGTGAGATGGGAGAAAGGGCTTTGAGCTTCGAGTTATTCACAGATTCCACGTTAGGAAAATGTAAAACTGGGCGACTAACTTCGCTGAGCTTACCAAAACTGGCCAGGCTTTCCCTGAAGCTGAAATGACCGGAGAAAGGATAGGGCCGATCAAGGATTGTAAAGGGAATTTGTGCACGGAGCCTAAAGAGATAGGAGAGGTCCTTAATGAATACTTTTCTTCGGTATTCACAACTGAGAGGGACCTAGTTGTAGAGGAGGACAGTGTCAAACAGGCAGGTAGGCTAGAGGAGGTCGATGTTAGTAAGGAAGGTGTGCTAGGAATTTTGAGGAAGTTGAAGATAGATAAGCCCCCGGGCCTGATGGGATTTATCCAAGGATTCTATGGGAAGCGAGGGACGAGATCGCAGGGCCTTTGGCGATGATCTTTTCGTCCTCACTGTCCACGGGTACAGTGCCTGAAGATTGGAAAGAGGCAAACATCATTCCCTTGTTCAAAAAAGTGAACGGGGATAACCCCGGAAATTACAGGCCAGTTAGTCTTACGTCAGTGGTGGGCAAATTATTGGAAAGGGCTCTGAGAGACTTTTTCCCAGGGTGGAGGTAGCTATTACAAGGGGACATAGTTTTAAAGTGAAAGGAGATAGATATCGGGAGATGTCAGAGGTAGGTTCTTTACTCAGAGAGTGGTCGGGGTGTGGAATGCATTGCCGGAGAGGGTAGTGGAGTCGGCCTCATTAGGGGCATTTAAGCAGCTATTAGATAAGCATATGGATGATAGTATAAGGTAGGGGTGATAGTATAAGATAGACATTAGGTTTCAGGTAAAAGTTTGGCACAACATCGTGGGCCGAAGGGCCTGTACTGTGCTGTCCTGATCTATGTTCCATGTTCTATGAAACAAAAACAGAAGTTGCTGGAAAAGCTCAGCAGGTCTGGCAGCGTCTGTGAAGAGAAATCAGAGTTAATGTTTCAGATCCGGTGACCCTTCCTCAGAATGGATCCGAAACATTAACTCTGATTTCTCTTCACAGGTGCTGCCAGACCTACAGCATCTGTAGCTCTTTCAGTTTCCATGAAGCTGATTTATTTGTTCGTGGACGCCAGCATTGCGAACTACAGAAGATACATTGCATTTCTGCCCTAACTGAGTGATTTGCTTGGCCATTTCAGAGATTACCGCATTGCCATGTGACTGGAGTCACATGTAGGCCAGACAGGTGAGGACAGCACCTTCCTTTCCCTGAAGAACAGACACAGCAATGGATTCAGACAGGTTAACACCACGACATTATACAACTTCAAATCATTTCCTCCCTCACTGGCTGGGCCACTCCTGAGGGAGCAGCTGCTGGGAGAGTAATCAACATTGATTTCACCCTCACAGTGAGTCCTGGAATTATACAGCATAGAAACAGGCCCCTTTGGCCTACCATGTCCATACTGACAAACAAAAACCAAACTACCCTCATCCCATTGACCTGCACATAACTGGAAAGCCAGGGAGTGACTCAACAGGAACCCCCTCACTGTGACATAGCATCATAGGAACAAGAGTAGGCCATTCAGCCCCACGGACCTGCTCCACCTTTTCAACAGGATCATGGCTCTGTGGCCTAACTCCATACCCATGCCTTGGGCCCATATCCCTTCATATGCTTGCTTAATTTAAAGTTGTCGATCTCATTTAAATTTAGCATTGACCGCTATTTGAGGAAGAGAGTTCCAAACCTCCATCACTCCTTGTGTGTAGAAATGCTTTCTAAAATCACTCCTGGATGGCCGGGCCTAATTCTTAAACTGTGCCCCCGGTTCTAAAATCTCCAACACCTAGTGGAAATATTTTATCTTTATCTACTGGGTCTATTCCTGTTAATTTCCTGAAGACATTGATTAGGTCACCCTTTAACCTTCTCAATTCGGGAGAATAAAGGCTTATTTTGTCTAATTTCTCCTCATCTCTCCAGGTATCGTCCTTGTAAATCTGCATTGAACTCCCTCCAGGGCCAATCTATCCTTCCTAAGATGTGGTGCCCAGATCTACCCACGGTGCTGGGGTAACTAGGGTTTTGTATAGCTGCAGTATAATGTTTGCATTCCTATACTCCAGCCCTTTGGATATGAAGATCAGCATTCCATGAGCCTTCTTAACTATTTTCACCTGATGAAGGAACTACACTCCGAAAGCTTGTGATTTCAAATAAACCTGTTGGACTATAACCTGGTGTTGTGTGACTACCAGTGTTCCAATGAGGGACCTTGTCAAAGGCTTTACTAAAGTCCATGTAGACACTATCAACTGCTTTCCCTCATGAATCATCTTCGTCACCTCCTCAAAAAACTCAATCAAGTTAGTGAGGCAAGACCTCTGCCACTGTTTGTCACTAATCATTCCATTTGCTTCTAAATCCTGATAGATCTGGTCCCTGAGAATCCTTTCCAATAATTTCTCTATCACTGACGTGAGACTGTAATTTCCTTGATCATCCCCTTTACCTTTCTTAAACAATGGGATAACATTGGCTATTCTCCAGTCCTCTGGGATCTCATCTGTAGCCAAAGAGGATACAAAGATACCTGTCAATGCTCTAGCAATTTGTTCTCTTGCCTCTCTCAATATTCTGGGATAGATCCCATCAGGACCTGGGGATTTATTTACCTGATATGATTTAAGAAACACAACACCTCTTCCTTTTCAATAGCAACTCAGCTTAGAAATTTGTCACCCCCCTTCCCTGAGATCATCTTCCAACAGTTTCTTCTCTTTGGTGAAAACCTACACAGAGTCCTCGTTTAGGACATCGCCAGCCTCTTCTGGCTCCAAACATAGATTCCCTCCTTTGTCCTTGAGAGGACCAACCCTTTCCCTGGCTACTCTTCTGCTTTTAATATATGTATAAAAAGCCATGGGATTCTCCTTAATCCTATTTGCTAACGATTTTTCATGATTCCTTTTAGCTTTTCTAATTCCTTGCTTAAATTCTTTCCTACTTTCCTTATATACTTCAAGGGCTTTGTTAGTTCCCATCCTCCCAGACCGTATGTATGCTTCCTTTTTCTTTCTGACCAAGGACATAACATCCCTGGTCACCCAATGTTCATGTAACTTGCCATACGTATCCTTCATTCTTGTAGGAACGTGCCACTCCTGAACTCTTATCAACTGCTGTTTGAAATACTCCCACACGTTTGATTGGATTTACCTTTGAACAGCCGCCTCCAATCGACATTCTCCAGTTCCTGCCTAATATTGTTATAGTTTGCCTTCCCCCAGTTTAACACCTTCACCCAGGGACTGCTGTTATCCCTATCCAAGATTATCTTAAAACTCACGGTATTATGGTCACTACTCCCGAAATACTCCTCCACTGAAACTTCACTCCCCTGGCCGGGCTCATTTCACAAAACCAGGTCCAGTATAACCCTTCCCTGGCTGGAATGTTTATATATTGTCTCTAGAAATCCCCCCCCCCCCCCCCGCCCCCCCCCCCCCACCCCCAGCCATATGGTCCTTACAAATTCTGCTCCACCCAAGCCCCCAGCATGTAGTGAGTCCCAGTCAATACAGGGAAGGTTAAAATGATCCACCACAACAATCCTGCTGTTTTTACATCTTTCCAAACATCAGGCTAACTACTCTGTAATTCCCTGGTCCCCCTCTGTCATCCTTTTTAAAGAGTGGAGTGACATGAACAAATTTCCAATCCAGAGGTACAGCTCCTGAATCCAGGGAACTCTGAAAGTTTGTGGTTTGGGATTCAGCAACTTGCTGTCCTACCCTCTTGTTAACATCCATGGCTCAAAACTATCATGTCCTAGAGATTTGTTACTCTTCAGTTCCATGTCTTTTGGCATTATTAATGTCATAGAGTCATAAATTCCTACAGCATGGAGACAGGCCCTTCTGCCCAAACTGATCCATGCTGACCAAAATGTCCATCCATGTTAACCCCATTTCCCTGCACTTGGCCCGTATCCTTCTAAACCTTTCCTATCCATGTATTTGTCCAAATGACTTTTAAATGTTGTTAATGTACCCACCTCAACCACTTCCACTGGCAGCTCATTCCAAATGTGTCCCACCCTCTGTGTAAAAAAGTTGTCTGTCAGGTTCCCATGTTTTCTTTCCCCTCTTACCTTAGACTGATGCCCTTTAGTCCTCAATTCCTCAACCCTGGGAAAAAGACTGAGTGCATTGACCCTATCCATGCTTCTCATAATCTTATATACTTCTATAAGATCCCCCCTCAGTCTCCTATGTTCCAAAGAAAAATGTCCTATCTTGTCCAACGTCTCCCTATAACTCAGTCCTTTGAGTCCTGGCAACATCCTTGTAAATTTCTTCTGCAATCTTTCCAGTTTAATAACATCCTTCCTATAGCAAGGTAACCAAAGCTGCACACAATACTCCAAGTGCGGCCTCATCAACATCCTGTACAACTGCAACATATCTTCCCAACTTCTATCCTCAATGCCCTGACTGATGAAGGCCAGTGTGCCAAAAGCCTTCACTGCCCTGTCTACCTGTGACTCCACTTTCAGAGAACCGTGCACCTGAACTCCAAGGTCCCTCTGTTCCACTACACTCCCTAAGGCCCTACTATTCACCATGAAACTCCTACCTTGATTTGACTTTCCAAAATGCAACACCTCACATTTACTCCATATTAAACTCCATTTGCCATTTCTCAGCCCACTTCCCCAGCTGGTCAAGATCCTGCTGCAATTTCTAATAACCTTCCTCACTGTCCACGATGCCGCCTATTTTAGTGTCATCCGCAAACTTACTAATCATGCCTTGTGCATTCTCATCCAAATCATTGGTATAGATAACAAACAGCAATGGGCCCAGCACCGATCCCTGAGACACCCAACTAGTCACAGGCTGCCAGTCAGACAAGCATCCTTCCACTATTACTGTCTGCTTCCTACCATCAAGCCAATTGTGT